TATTAAATTCCACAGGCACTGATTTAAATGATTGTTATTGACTAGATAATTGGTCATTTTTATATGCAGCTTATCAAGAAATATATAAACCAGTAAAAAGATCTTATAAAGAAATTCTTGTATTTCAAGTAGATGATATTAACTGTTTCCGAGAAAAAAAAATGTATTTAATGTTTTAGGATAATATTTTGTGACCACTTTTTCCGTTCAAATTATGGTAATTTATTATTATAATTTTCACAATTTCATAATTTTTATAAATTAATGTTTTTTTTTCTTAAACTAAACATGATAACAATATGCAATTTTCACCATTCATTGTACGCTATTAAGTTATGTTGGATACTAAACTAAAATGGCACTGGAAAATATGGAGAGTAAAGTAGGTATATGTAAATGGACAGAAGTACAAGCATTTAGGACAAGCGGAGGAGGGTATACCCTATCCAAGATCCTTTTTAACGTAGTTCTTGAAAAATGACTTAAAAATAGTAATATTCATAGATAAAGGACAGTATACAACCTAAAAGATCGATGCGGAGCGTATGTCCTAATAACAGAACAAAGAGAGAATTAAAAGACAAAGAGATTGGAAAATGTCGACAAAGAAGAACACAATCTCTATGAACGAGGAGAAGCCGAAGTATATCTTGCTGAGAAGCTGATAATGGACTGCTAACATGGGAAAACTTATGAATTTGTTTTGATTTTGTATAAAATTTTACCCATCTGAAAGTGAACAAATCAACAGAAATGGAGAAAAGATAGACCAAAAAAAAAGAATAAATAGTAGAAGCAGAAATGAAAATACACACACAAGGTTGGTGTCATGGAGAATTAAAAGAAGACTATATAAAATAGTCGTAAGAAAGACTTTATGCGGTTAACAGCTATGGATTTTAAATAAGACAGAAAACGAAAANAAATGTATTTGCAATAAAAAATTCTTCTAAATTTATTGTGTATCGTATAGTTGTAGTATTGTTTCAGATTATTGAACTATACTGTAAGTTTGTTTTTAGCTAAATAAAATAACACTAAAATTATTTGTTTTACAAATCAAATGAAAGAATTTTGCTTTGAATATCTTCCAATATCGGTATACGGCGGGAATACATCGGAATAACCCAGAATATGACGGAGTAACAAGAAATACTACGGAATAACCTGAAATATAATACCCCGGAATAACACGAATTACCTGCGGGTACGTGGAAATAAGATGGAGGTAATAGGTAATAGAGGTAATAGAGGTAATGGAGGTATAGAGGCAATATTACGAAATATTTTTATTCCCATGTATACGAAACACATTGGAATGATGAAATATTGTAGAATAACTCGAAATACATGGAATAATTAGTGCTCAGTGAATATTTTTTATGTACAGTTTCTCAATGAANAAGAAATTATTAAATGAATTGGCAATGTAAAAGAGGCGAAACTGAAGACCTCGGAACATATGATTGGTAGCGGTGGAAGAAGAAATGGAAAATAATTAACGTTAAAGACTGGAAAAATGAAGCTATGGAAAAGAAAAAAATGGGGAAATTTTTCCAACCAAGCCCTATACCTTCAAGGCCTGTATAGCTGTGTTATAGGGTATATTTCTCATCACTTGCCAGATATTCACATTTTTTCATATTTTTTGTGGTTGATTCCGCGTTAAAAATAAGGATGCCACATAATAGGGCCTACCTCATAATGTAAGTTTCAAAACCAAACAGTAACTGTAATGTAAATGTTATAAATCTAAATATTATAAAAATAGTTAAATATAATTGAACTTGTCAACGTAGTATAAATTTTTGTAAAAAGCACGTTGAGCACAAGACATTTCGAAGACATTTGATATTTTCGAGAAAGATAATGTTGTAAACGCCAGGTAACATCAAAACGACATGACCTAATATTTATTTAGTAAGCCTTAAAATCAACTACAAGATGTTCCATTTTGAGGTTAACTAGCGAAAATAATTTTAAAATGTTCGAAAATTCAACTAGTGCAACTTAACTTTTACTTAAAACATTTTTTTCGTATTAAACATATTTCGAGTTACGTACAAATCCGTCTTATGTGATATATCCTGTAAATTAATGTAATAAGGGGAATCCCTTTTGAAACATGTAATTTTTGTTGCTGCGCGTTGACAACTGCCTGCTAACAATAACGGGACTCGTCCCTCACAATTAGTGAAATAAATGAACGCTAGGCAAACCGACAAGCGCGTAATTGCGAGACATTCTGCGATAATGTGATAGATACCTGGACGCTTTGGACGCTAATGACCAAAATAGCGGCAGTCTCCCAGAGCCGACAAAGTCTTATCACTCATGCAGGACCACCCTTGGCACACAACAAAGGCCCATATTAAATAATGCGGAGCCCCTGCATTTGTTCGTGTGCAAGACTATGCGAGATGGATGTTTACGTATGCAATTTGTACTGTTATTATTTATAGCAGTCGTCCCGTACAAATTGCACTGGTTTTATACGTAGGCAGATGATTAAAATTTAAATGGTGCGACAGCAGACCCATACAGCGAGCTTTAACCATTTTCATACTGGACTGAAATTTTGTGCTTAAATGAATATCATATCAAAACGCACAAGAGAACCTGGAATCAAGAATATATTTATTTGGTATATTTGTATTAAAGTATCTACTCTGCATGTATTTATTTAAGGGAAGAAATTTTACTAACTTCTGAAATGGTGGGATCATTGAGTACTTTTCTGAAGGACGTTTTTTCAACCCTTTTCAAAAATGGCTATACTAATACCTCCAATTTTTAAAGCATTAGTTCAAAATTGCTGTATATAAAAAAAATTAAAACTAAATGTACGAGGCACAATGTCAAATTAGTAATAGATCCAATTTTCCTAAATAGGCACACAATTTTTAAACCACAACACAATATTTTTTTATAAAGTAATGTCAAGAAATCCATGTGCGTCGTAGTGTCAAGTTGGTGCTTCATCTCAGCATTGTAGATTTATCATAATGAATATTAAATTAAACCACATATCAAATTAGTACAATGTAGACACGAAATTCTCGAATGGTTAATTTTTTTAAATTTAATGTAGCATCTCAAAAAAGAATAAAGCATAAAACATGTTTAAATAAGTAGTAAAATAAATTAGTAAAAATAAAAATTAGTACAAAATGTGAACAAAATTGGCAAATAGATAGAGATAGACTGTCTCTATATAAAATTAGCTTTAAATTCAATATATGAATTTGTGTCAAGTTGGTGCCTCATGTAGTAAATAAATTAACGCAATAATGGNTATTTGTTGAAAATCGGACCAGAAATGGAGGAGTTATAGCTTGCGACGTTTTTTGTCAACACACTCTTTATCTAAGAAAAAGTATATTTAATGGTATTACTTTGTCTAGCATTCTTCATATTAAACAAAAATACGTTGTATTTCGTCGTTAATACAGCTTTGCGGAATAGTTATTTTCTGGAAAATAATTATGACACTTTAGTGTGCATGTAAACTATTTATGTAAGAATACCTATTACATTAGGATGTTTGTTACAGGATATTAAAAACGCTGAAAGGTACAAGATAGTTGAAATTAGAAAACAATTGCCCCATCGCATCGATCATTTAAATGACGTAAACATAACCACATATAATTTTTAGTTGATAGATTTTGAAAAGTGGGGTTTTTTAACTATATATTTTACTTTTTTCTGTTATTATTAGATCTAGAACAAAAAGAATAGCAGTTCGTCGGGACAATATTATCTGTACTTTCTCATGGAAATGCTAGTTTTGCTGTCCCACCGTTCATATTCCATGTACAATCATCATCTTAATTTTTTAAAGTACAGTCCCTTTTAAAATACATATTTTCAATTATGCGTTTATTGATGTATCACTTGTGATGAATTTAATTACGTTTCGAATATATTTTCGCCATCATCGAGAGCTTTTTAAGCATTTTTAAGTCGGCCTTTCAAGTAAGATAGTAAATAGAGATAAACTAAGGCCAAAGAAAGCTTGAAAAAATATATAAAAATTGTAATCAATAAGAACCTGCAATAACTTAAAAAAACATTATCTGTTTTACAATAATGGTCCAAACGCCTCAAGCTTTCAGTTTTTGTGTTTATTATCTATATTGAACAGACTACATTAAAATAAGTAGGAATAAATGGAAATAAACCGGAATAAACGGGGATAAATCGGAATAAACCAGAATAAATGAAAATATTCCTATAAACCGGAATCAGTGTACAGGGTGGGCAAATAAGCGAGGTAAGCGGCTGTATCTCAGAAACTAGTGATCGTAGAGAGCTACGGTAAAAAATTTNGTTGTGGATGCATTTTTTCTCAACAATCACTCGCGGTTTTTATGAATCCTAAATGCAACAATTTTGCCGATTAATGAAGCCATCAAGATGAGAATGAGTCTTATCGCTTAAGATGGTTTTGTTCGAAATATGAGCATCCACTTGTTTCATAATCCATTCAACGAACTCCCTTTGCTCTGCGTGGTCAGTAGGCTTCAGTTCTTGAGTTGAATTGAACTTTATAAGCATGAAGATGCAAATCTTTCGTGAGCTTCTCGAAATGTTCAGTTCTTGACCAGGGTGCCGGATTGATGTTCCTATAATCACACAATCAGCAGCACTCTTAACGAACTGCTTCGATGTTTTGTGTTGAACGACTTGAAGGACGGCCATAGTCTTTAAAATCACTAATTGATCGTATCCCTGAATTTAATCTTTTCACAGTTGAAGTTATATCACTATTCCGAGTATATTTTGTACAAAAATTGCGAACTGTAGCTGCTAAACCTTCATTATTTTTAAATGGCGCAGAATTCAAATCTTGCGTAAATTTTGGGGACACCCGATATTTAAATTTAACATTTTAACTTAACGGAGTCAGATTGTACTTTGATATAAACAAATATTTGGCCAATCATTACAAGTTTAGAAAGGAAGTGAATCGTTCTTCACGAATTTTTCTGTTCCAGGCGACTACCTTCGAGACAAATACGACGGTGCCACGGAAGTCCGCGTGAACCGCCGTGGCCGCCTGCAGCTCCGCGACCCCCAGGTCAGCATCCCCACGGCCTACGACTTGGTATACCTAGAGGACTCACCCAACTATTGCGTTCGCGATGATACCGTAGGTTCGCTGGGTACGCAGGGTCGACCTTGTAATCGCACCTCGCCGGACATCGACGGCTGCCACCTGCTGTGCTGCGGAAGAGGGTATAACACCATCAAAAGCACTGTGCGGGAGCGATGCCATTGCAAGTTCAAGTGGTGCTGCCAGGTGGAGTGCAAGACTTGCATCAGGTCCATGGACGTACACACGTGCAAGTGATCGTTATCGGCGGGTCGTTTCGAAAACAAGCGCTTTTGTACAGGGTGGGCTATTTCAACTCTTAAGATATCTTGACCAAACTCAACTTAGCCACGACATGCACAGTGGACTTCGTTCTTTAACAAAGTCCGCTGAAGTAGTGACGAAAACAAAAGACATTAACAATGGTTCATATATGTTAATCTCAAATAGAATACACTCCGCCATAGTTCCGACTGGCATTGCTACTACGCATACCGCAATCAAGGCTAAAGCTACGATTTTTAAGACATTTTACGTATTTAATAAACACTTGTAAAGACGTTCTGTTAAAAACCGTAGCTTAAGAGGGGAAACCACATTAGGAGGCTGATTTTGAGACGTTTTTTCATGAATTATTTTGAGTGGAACTTTATTAGAATTTAATCAAACTTTGACATTATTTTAATAATATTTTGCACTACATTTACAAATTTTTTCAAGGCATTTGTGTTGAAAATGCGGAAGTTGCTGTCCACCGAAGGTCGTCGTCCGAATTGTTTCTTCACGGGAAATCTGAAAGCAAAGTGGCTGTTTTCCTGCATTATTAACATGTTTTCTTAGAATATGAACCTCACGTGTTTGAAAAAAATTTATTGATTTTCACCATTTTTTTTCACTTATTTAGAATAAAAAACACCCTTAAAATTGTGATATCATCGCAATTGTTGGTTCATGTTCTTTATCCTTTCACAAAGAAACACACTTTCAATTTTCATAATGATCGGTTTATAACTTATTGAGCAAAAAATGTCGAGAAAAACGCATTCGAAGATTTCCGAAAACTAGAAATTTGAGAAAGTAATTAATAATATAGAGTGCTTTCCGGTCAATCAGCGATTCTATCATTTAACAGTCCTTCTTCTTCCTCATAGACATCATTCTGAATTTGCATATGTTCTTTTCTTGATTAATAAATGATTAGACTACCTGAACAAGAGCTCCGCCCTACTGGTGTGCTGACCCGATGGGCCTTCAGTTTTAGCCTCATAAAATCGGAACGAATAGGAATTTTGTTTTAAAATTTTGGCTGCGTATTATTGAATACTTATACTTACGATTTATACAATAAAAAATTAAGATTTTTTTAACCTCCTATGTGGCTTCCCCCTTGAATGAATTTGGTCAAGCTGTAGTAATTTCTGGCGCTCTTTTGAAAAAAAAATCTTATTTAAAAACCAAATTCAAAGATCTCTTGGCATTAAAATTTTGGTTTAATATATGCAAGATTTTTCGGAAGATAGATAGATAGATAGATTTTTCTGAATCATTATCATTTCTGAAACATTGTAATTGACAGCCCCACAGCAATAATTTTTATTTTAATTCTGAGAACTATCCACAGCGACTATAGCAACTATTTAAAAATATGTAATATATAGACGTTAATACACCTCTTAATAAGTTTCGACTATTTCAGAACATCGAAAAATATTGTCATTATCTCGTAACAAATACGTAATAAGTATTATTATTTAAAATGTGTTCCCATTTTTGCTGCAAAATGTTGTACAGTTTATCATAACAAATATGATTTTTATACAGAAATATGCCTAATAAGAATAAAAATAACATAAAATTTATAATTGCCCACTCTGTAATATTGGTTCGTGTGGCTTGGGAAAAACCTAACCTGGAGACCAATTAAGTACTGTGTATTCAAACAATCATTTTTATAAAGCTTTATGTAAAAAGTAGTATAAGTAGATGGTAAGGTCGTGTATGATTTTTATTTATTTATTTGTTACTATACATATAGGTTTGTTTATAGTTTGTCTTTGTATTTATTTCGTAGTTGTGTACTTAAATAGCACCTTGAAGTAGTTTACTTTTTGTTTCCTGTTTTACGATATTTTAAATATGGGTTTACAGCAAGAAATAATATGTTTCTTTTTCTAAATAACTACTTACCGTCTATATAGGACTATTTTTATTCAAGAAAATCTCCAATACACAATTTTAATGTTAATTATATCAAATAGTCCCATATTTAAAATATACCAGAAAATTTTGTATATAATAAAGATAAAAATTCATGATGTTTAAGGAACCAATAATTTTAAAAATGTATTTGATATTTCATGCCTATTAATCGAAACATTTTATACTAAATTAGTACCAAACAACCAAACTAAATGATTAACAAAAAAACTATTATTTTAGATTTAACACAGACAAATTTAATACATATATAGGATGTTTCATTAAAAATATATTGTTTAAATTATAAATTAATCGCAAATTCTTGATTTTATAACATAACAATTGAGCCAAACATGCCTAATCAAATGCTATCGAAATATGAACTTTTCAAACTAAAGGTCGAATTAAAGGTCAAGAAAAAATGGTAATTTTAGCAATATTTCAAGAACTATTTCACCAATCAAGTTGAAAATCTCTATACACCTATATAAAATTCTAGAAATATGTAGTTACTTTACAATCGAAATACTTCTAGTTCCTATTTGTGTGTTTTTGAAAGCATAACATTTTTTATTCAATGCATATTCTCTTCTGAATCACTTTTGCGACTGAATGCATACGCTGTTTTGTGTTTCATATTAGTATTTGGATTGGATTTCAAATGAATGACTCATATTATCACGACGGATACTCATAATGTGGATGTATGAATCAATTTGGCATTGTATCAATGTGAAAAATAATGACATTTGTCCATAAGCGTTGAGTGATACGATTTCTCACTTAACGCCATAAGATATCTACTGAAGTCCATCTGGAGGACAAACGGATAAATTATGGATATATAGAATATCCATGGTACCAGACATGAGATATTGGGTTTATAAACTAAGAGGCACGCTTTCCTAAATCTCGTGGCTTTGATTTAGTTTCTCCCTGGCTGTAGCCTTTTTCCTTCTCTTAAAACTGTAAGCAACAATTTGGCGAATCCTCTTATTCTGTATATCTAATGGATGAATTTATGCTATTGGGAATATGTACTATTTCTAGTATCAAGTTTTTTAATTAATAAAACTTAAAATGTCTTTTATTCTCAATTAATAATTTACTTTAATTTATATCATACTTCATATATTTCTTAACAAGTTTATGTTTAACATACACCAAAATAATCATAAAAGTATTTCTGTGTCTGAATAATTAATATGTTCTTTTTGCCAACAACTTACCAGTAATAAACCAGTTTCGCTATAAATTAAATAAGTTTCCATTATTCTTTGACCAACAGTCCAAATTATCAATCTATGAAGACTGAAATCAGTAAGCCCAAAATTAATACTATATTTGAATTTCCCGCCATAAAAAGAATACCAACTTGATTGATGAAATATAAATATAAATTCATACTATTTTACTCCAGGAATATACGCTGCCTGTAGTTTTAATGATACACCCAGTGTAGTTCTTAAAATTATATGCCAACAACATAATAATGACTGTATAATGTATGAAGCATGCGTATAGAAAAGACTTATACCTTATATATATAAAAAAAAGGAAGAAACAGTATTAATTAATTTTATATCATTACCCGTCATTTTTATACATAAAATAAAAATATACCTACAAGACTTCTGAAATTTTAATACGTTTTTCCCTATTCGTAATTGATTTTTAAACAAATATATACCCACAAAACGCTACCAAAGACTGATCATTGGTACATAAATGGTCATATATGAAGGCAAGGCAATTCATAACGCAGGGTCACAAAGAAAAATGAGTGGAGGGTTCCTTGAACTAGACCAAGTAGATTACATGTTTTTTGGGTTGCTGAAACCGAATCCGAAACCTGTTTTGTCTCATCACGTCAGCGTTTTTTTTTCTACCCTCAAAAAACAGCTTGAAATTATGAAACCCAACAATATCAACCCTTAAACCATATAACCCTAAACTTTCATAACTCAATAACCTTGAGATCAATAACCTATAACTCTAAAATCCATAACCTGAAAATCTATAACCTCAAAACTCATAAATCTCAAATCCCAATAAACTGCAAACACAAAATGAGCTAAAACAACAAAAAACTTACACGCAAAACTGAAACCTCAATATCAGAGAGTTTTAACTTTATATGTAATTCATCCATCACTTCATAACCATAAACCCCATAACTCTGAAGTCCCATAACCCTATAATGCCAACAGCCTATAACCCCAGTAATCCAAAACCTCATAACCCTATATTATATTGTGACATGCAATTTTCTGATGTTACACTTCAGGGTTATGGAGTTTATGGATTATGAGGTTATGAAGTGATGGAGGTGTAGAATTATGAAGCTAAAACTCTCCGAGACTGAGTTTAGCTTCTAAGTTTTTATTTTTGCTCATTTTGTGTTTGCAGTTTATTGGGATTTGAGATTTATGAGTTTTGAGGTTATAGATATTCAGGTTATGAGTTTCAGAGTTATAGGTTATTGATCTCAAGGTTATTGAGTTATGAAAGTATAGGGTTATATGGTTTAAGGGTTGATATTGTTGGGTTTCATAGTTTCAAGCTGTTTTTTGAGGGTAGAAAAAAACGCTGATGTGATGGGTCAAAACAAGTTTTGTATTCGGTTTCAGCGACCCAAAAAACATATAAATCACTTGGTCGAGATCAAGGAACCCTCCACTTATTTTTTTTGTGGTCCTGTGTAATTGGTACTCTTATGGTAAGCCATAAATCGACCACGAATGAATTGTCCCACCGGCTAACAGCTGGCCATTCTTTAACTTGCCATCATTTGTACATAAATAGATATGTAGATACATTAATGGTTTACCCGTTTGTGGCTAGCTACAGCTAATTGCATTTACTTTTCAGTTTCCGAGATGGTATAATGTACAGGGTGGTTGATTTTCGATAGTTTTATAGGGTACAGCCAAAACGGTGATAGATACAAAAAATCTGATATCGATGTCCCGTCCTCTTTTTTTGAGTTTACTTCGCTGGTCCCAAAAGATCTTGGCTAACTTGATTAGTTTTAGATATACAGGGTTTTTTTGAAAAAT